GGTTCTGGTGAAATTTGGAAAATTTGGCTGGGATAAGATCAAGAATAAATGGGATATTAAGGTCATGATGTAGGGTTTTATTGGTTACATAGAAGGGAGCATTGACTATTGTACGGAGGACTTTAGACTGAAAGGATTGAATGCGTTTGATGTTAGAAAATTTGGCTGTTCCCCATAGTTCTAGTCCGTAAGTCCAGATGGGTTTCAGTATTGTCTTGTAGATCAGTAATTTGTTTTCACCAGAAAGTTTAGATTTTCTATTCAGTAGTCTATATAGCTGGCCATATCGTCTGTTAAGTTCCTGTCTTTTAAGTCGAGTATGTGGATTCCATGTTAGTCGTCTGTCTAAGAGAAAGCCAAGATACCGGACTGTATCTGAGAAAGGAAGCTGGATGGAGTTAAAATAAACTGGTGGGTAGGTATTACGCCGAAGGGTGAAGGTAATGTGTTTACATTTAGATTCGTTTACCTTAATGCGCCATTTCTTACGCCAGTGTTCAATCAGGAAGAGGTGCCTTTGTAAGTTTGCGGACGCTGTTTCAGGATCTGAGTTGGAAGAAAGGATAGCAGTGTCATCAGCGAAAGTTGCCAGGAGGGTATCGGGATGGAGAGGAATATCAGCGGTAAAGAGAATGTAAAGGATGGGGCCCAAGACGCTGCCTTGAGGAACGCCAGCCTCAATTGAGTAACAGTCGGAGAATTCGGTGCCACAGCGAACTCGGAAGGAGCGGTCGGAAAGATAGGATCGGAGTACTAGGTATAAGGACTGTGGTAGATGGATTTTAGGCTTGAAGAGTAATCCGGCGTGCCATACCCGGTCAAAAGCTTGCGCTATGTCCAGAAATGCACCCGAGCAATACTGCTTGCTTTCTAGGGTTGAGGATATATGGTCAACAACTCGGAGTCCTTCCTGGACAGTGGAATGTTGGGAACGAAATCCGAATTGATGAGTAGGAAGGTTATAGGATTCAATTATAGGTAGGATTCGTTTCAGTAGGATCTTTTCAAAAATTTTTGAGAGGATTGGGAGTAGGCTAATTGGTCTATAGGATGCTGTATTGTTGGAAGGTTTGCCTGGTTTCAGGAAGAGGACGATGGTGGAATGTTTCCATAAAAGAGGGAAGTGGGTAGTTCGTAGGATGCAATTGTATATATATGTAAGAAATATGATGGCTTTAGATGGAAGTTGTCGAAGGATCTGTGGGGTTATAAGGTCATATCCAGGAGATTTTCGAGGTGTGATTTTCCGTAAAAGGTATTTGACCTCAGAGGGATTAACAGCTTTAGGTGGTAAGGAGAGTGGGATAGGTATTGAGAGGGATTCTTCTACTTTTACTGTGTGGCTGGGATGGGATTCTGGATGAGGAGCGAAAGTATAGGAAAGGTGTTTGGCAAATTCCTCGGCTTTATCTTCATCAGATGCTGCCCAGGAGCCATCATCTCGTCGAAGAGGGTGGGAAATATGATGGGATTTGAGGATTTTTCTGGTGATATTCCAAAGGGAATTATCATGAGCAGAGAGTGTGGTGAGGTAGGAATTGAATGATTGGGATCTGAAGGTGGCTAATTCTTTTTTTAATTTTTTACAGTGATAATTGTAGGAGTGGCGGTCGGCTGGATGTCTGGTACGTTGCCATAATAATCTGGCACGGCGTTTTATGTGGATTAGGTCAAGGAGGTGTTGAGGTAAATTATGTTTCTTAAGGATTTTTGAGGAGTGATCAGGGGAGGAAGCAGTCCAGACTGCTTCTAGAATTTTGGTAGTGAAGGAATGTACTGCATTGTCCAGGTCTTCAGAGGTTTTCAGGGTTACTCTGAGGTCAATTTTATGTGAGAGGATTTGATGAAAGAGTTTCCAGTTAACTGGGCCTCTGATGAAGGACGGAGGAGAGGGTTTAGGAATAGGAGCTAGTGATACTTGGAGTATTAATGGGCTGTGGTCTGAGGAAAGCTCGTCAAGACGGGCAACGGAATGGTTGAGAGCACCTAAACCATTATGGATAAAGAAATCGAGGATATCGGGATTACTGTTAGGATCAGTGGGCCAGTAGGTAGGTGAGTTGGGTGGAAGAAGGGTAAAATTTTGGGAATTGAGTACAGACAGCAATGTTCGACCACGAGAATTCGTGGTTCTTAAACCCCATTGTTGATGCTTGGCGTTTAAGTCTGCACCCAAGATGAAATGATGTCCTAAGGAAATGAGGAAGGAACTAAATTGGATATTGGAGATGGATTGGTTTGGAGGGCAATACGCTGATGCAACGGTAATAGGAAAGGAGAAGGTTTTGATTACGACTGCGGTGGATTGTAGGAAATCGTGTGTAGGCAGTGGGAGTAGGTGATGGGAGAGGGATTGGTGCACAATGACTGCAGTACCGGCATGTGCTCTACCGTCAGGATGGTCGGTACGGTAAGTTATGTATTGTGGTATTTTTAGGAGCTGTTTTTTAGTCAGTCGAGTTTCCGTTATTAAGGCTACGTCTACGTTCTTGTCTTGTAGTAAGGCTGTTAGTTCGTTTATGTGATTTCTAACACCATTCGCATTCCAAAGGAGAATGGATATGGGTTTGATGGAAGTCATTTAAGGATTTTTTAAAGGAGGGATAAGGTGAGATACTAGGTTAGTGAGAAGTGATATCAGTGGGGTAACAAGGGATTTAAATTCTGAAAGAAAGGATGTCAATAAGCTGGTTAGATCTGTAGCATTAGGCGGTGGAGGAACATATTGGATTTGATGTTGGTGAGGTTGTTGTTGATTAGGTACATTAGGTGGGATAGGATATTGAGATTGGGGTTGAGTTTGTTCTTGCGGCAGGGGCTCACATACATTAGTCAGGTCTCTACCCCCAAGTACCGTGGCAAAAGAAACCTTAGAGTTCACAATTTTAGCGGGTCCTCTTCTTGGTTTAGGTGTATCATCAGGGTGCCTGGGTTTCATATATCTCGCTTTAAGATTTTTATAAATTTGGCAGCCTTTGTAGTTGGCTGGATGACCTTCCAGGCATAGGGCACAGACTGCTGGTTCTGTAATTGGTTTATTACACTCGCCCGACTTGTGTGTTTTACCACATTTCACGCAGCGTGGTAAGTGGTGGCAATAAGACTTGGTGTGGCCATATGCTTGGCAATTATGGCACTGGATGAGCTCTGTTTTTGGGTACGGTTTTTCGACCTTTACGCTGGTGTAGAAAATTCTATTCACATCGTATATTTTTTCGATCCCAGGCGATGGCTCTAGATCGACGAAAAATAAGGGCAATGGGATTTTATTCTTTACACCTGGTTGTTCTTTATTTTCTTTTAAAACATTGGTTATCTGACGTATTTTGAACCCTAACGCCATTAACTCTTCTTTAATCACTTCTATTGGGGTTGAGGAGTGTAAATTTCTTATTACAACTCGTAGTGCTCTTTCCTGTTTCAACTGGTATGTGTGAAAGTCCGCATTTGTGTCTGTTAAATATTTTACGATTTTTCGGTACGCTTCAGGTGTGGCCGGTATTATTTTTGTATCATTTATTCTGACTAAAATAATATTACTCTAAAATGTTGAAATTGAAGTTAGTTATTCTGTCAACTTCAAGGCTCAGAGATTGAAGTTAGGTGGTTTATAAAAACAGATGGAGTAACTACAGCACCTATCGTCGATATAATAACTAGGCTTTTTGTAATTTTCAAGGTCTTAATGATTTGTAATCTGTAAGCTTTAAGCTTTAGCTCCGTTTTAAATACACTTTTTATAACATTTTTATAATAGCCCTTCATTGCCAGAAAATAATTTCATTCAAAGTAGAGCGGTAAGTGAAAGTTGTGTGATGGGCGGACCAGATTTTTTTCACTATTCTTCATTAAATAATTCAAAATTCTTCAATATTTTCTTGAAATTTAATGTTTCTATGACCGTTGGAAAGCTCAGTTCTTGCTCTTCTATACTGTATCAATAACTTTTAGATTTGACCTCTTCTCCACTAATATGTTTATGAGCGAACGGTTTGTTGTATTTCGTTTAGTTTAAATCGCTGTTTATTTTCGTGTGCATAGATGGATTCGTCATGTTCAAGTTATAACACATTTTGTGATTATCGAAATAATATCAAAGGCTACTGGCTCGATGAAAATGTTAGCCCAAAAATTTGTATTTTTCGATTGAAATTCGATTGAAAATTCGCATTTAGTGGCTTATCGAGGCAAGAAATACAAATCTCAATTTTGTTTCTCCTAAAAAAAATATTTGAACTCACTTTACTTCTTCAGCCGCAACAATTTCTTTCATTTCAAAGATAATTAATTCTTTTGGATCTCGATCAATTTTTATAGAATTCAGGAAACTTTCAAATCAAGTATGGGTATAATTGATCGAAAATTGTGCACTTTTAGAGTTATTTTCAAATAAAATTCTGAATTCATCGTAAGATTTTTTGCAGCTTGTTATCGGGAAAGGATGTTATATACTTAAATTGAAAATGCTTCAAAGAGAAGAACCAAGTTTCATTAAAATCGTTAAAGCTATTTTGTCAATACAGTCTAAAGTGGCACACATTATTTGGCGCCCGTTTCAAAACGAAATTCCTGATGGTTATGAAATATATATATAGAAATACTTCTGAATTTGATTGCAACGTTGTATCAATATTTCAAAGCAATCTGTGAAGTACTTTCGGTGATTAACTGTTATTATTTTTATTTTTATACAGTATATCATATTTTTATTTGTTGATAATACTAAAGGTTATCAATCAAAAAAAAAAAAACGATTCAGAAACAGAGACGAAAAAGTGACTGAACTGCTATTCCTGTGCTTATTTATATAATGATATCGATCTATACAATAGCTCTTTTTTAACCTTTATCAATAATACAAAATATTACACAAAATACAATGAAAGACGTCCATGATCAAGAAATTTTGCGACTATTTACAGGTTTTACAGCTTTGAATAACTTACCAACACAACAGTCAACGATTTTATGTTATTTTATTTTATTTTATATTGTTTCAGCTAACGAATGCAGTTCTACCAACCATGAAAATGAGAGATGAAGGACACATCGTCAATATTTCATCATTATCTTCAAAGATAGTGATGCCTCCTTTAAACATATATGGGGCAACCAAATGTTCTATGGCTTGTAAGTTCAAATATTTGTTTTATGTTTAAGAAATAAAATAAAACGTCATATTTTGTTCCTCCACTTCCAAAGTTTAGTATGATTTAAATTCATGCAGAAGATTAAAAACAATTTTCCCCCCAGAATATAAACTTTTCATCCGCGTTTTACGTTTTATAATTCAAGCAACGAACTCAGTTCCGTGTCTGTTTGTAGTCAAATCCGCATGATAGACATGACATATACATATACTTTTAATCAGATTTTGATGAAATCTTCAGGCATTGTACGAATTAGTAATCAATTTTCATTAACTATATTAAAAAAAAAAAAACCGTTTCAATTTGGCAAAAAGTTGAAGAAAAGATATGGAGTACTATAAAAATGATACAATATTTCATTACAATGATAATTACATTTCATCCTCTGATTATGGCTAAGCATGGTTTAATGATTTTCCATCTTCAACAATTTGAAATCTTAAACAAAAAATCAACTATCTTGAAATATATGTCAGTCTAGAATGACAGTACACTTTAATTCCATCCAGCTTCCTATCTGAGATACAGTCCGGTATCTTGGCTTTCATTTAGACCACTAGCGGAACCAGGATTTAATTTTGGGTGGACCCAGGATTTAATTCAGCCCGAAAGCTTTTTTTTCATAAAAAATAACGATAATTACTTTGGGAAAAAAGAAGGAAACTAACTACCTATATGAAATGGTGTTTAAGTGATTCCTAAACTTCTTTTAAATGTATTTACACGAACAATAATACTTTAAGAGATAATTGTTTAATATATTTTCCATAAAACATGGTTATATTTTACCATTTTGGGGGGCTTCAGCTTCAATGTACTATAGATATACAATTTATTTTAATCTACAATATATTGACCATTATTAAATATGTTTTCCCATCTTTCCACAAACTTTATAATGCCATGTTCATAGTGGTGGATGTCCTCTTCCTTTTATAATTTCTTTCCATAAATGGAGAGACCCGAACAAGTGGTAGTCACTTGGAGCTAAGTCTGGTGAATAGGGAGGGCGGGATAAAAGGTCCCATCCAAGGCTCTATAATTTATTGCGAGTGACCACTGAGGTGTGGGGCCTAGCGTTGTCTTGGTGGAACACGACACCCTTCCGATCATTCATAACTATTCAGGATGTTCTCCAAATTCGATGTTACTATATCCGTTGGAAAGCTTAATTATTGCTCTTCAAAGCCGTATGAATAGTTTTTTTTTTAATTTAATGCCTACATAAGGAATAAATAAACAAAAACTATATTGTTTTTCTCCATTTTTAGTTTGCTTTCTAAGGTCCTGTTGATGCCATTTTGTGTAGTTTATGTGGCTCTAAATTCTTGCTAAATTTTTTGTAGGTAGCTGAAGTCGTATTGAAGTTATAACATTTTTTGTAATTTTCGAAAAAAATCATATGGGGGACCCAAACTTTAAGCCTGGAAACATAGTCGAAACGTTTTTCTACGCTTGTATGCGACAAATTTAGGGCCATAGCTATCTCTCGCAATGATTAGGTGGGATTTTGATAAAAAATGGCCTTACCTTAACATTGCTCGTTTCAATCCAATGTGGACGACTACTTTCCTGAATAAAATTTGGCAAACCAATTTTGACATGTGCGTTCGGTTAAGGCATCATCCCCATAAACACTGCACATTTTTCTATAATTTTCTGCAGCACACTTACCTTTTTTAAAATAATACCACAAAATATACCGATGATGAATGATAATTTCTTCTATATCCATAGTGCAAACACAATACTAAGCTAGTTTCAACAAGAGTTAACAGATATAGTTGCTGACTTATTACAAACAGAATAAACAATTCATTAGGGATTAATTCATCAAATAAGAATTGTATCATAGTGACACAAAAATAAACAGAAAAACCGAAAGGACTTATTTGCCAATCCAATATTTCCTGAGATTTCTATGCCCCTAAAAACCCGCCAACTCCTTGTTTTGTCTGTTGCTCATCTTTGTGTCTGGTAGACTTGAGATCAGATTGAAGATATTAATGAATTGTTTTTTTTCGATTTATCTTTGGAGTCCCCATGCGCTCCCACGTCTCCCGTTGGTATGCCTAGTTGAAGTGGCTCTATCCACTTTTCCGACGGTAGTATTTCCTAGCTGTATTCCTTTTTTGAACCACTAAACCAAAAAACCATCTTGTCTTCTTGATTTGTTTACTCCTTGTTCCTCTGCCCATTCGTTTAACACAAGATCCCTGTCCACAAACCTGTTTGTTCCATCTCATGGAACCATTTCGTTTAAAAAATCCTTTGTCATGCTTTCTACTTTTTTTAAAAATTCCTTACCTACCTCTATACCCAAATCCTCTTCCTTAACCTCATTTAAACAACATTTATTCTTTCATCTTCTCAGCAATTAATCTTCCACATACATATCATAGTAAAGTTTCGTATTTAATAGCTGTCACCTTCATTTGACTTTAATCTTACTGTTACTTACATATTATCAATGTTATTAATCAGTACAAACATGAGAATTCACTTATATACATTTATGTACAAATTAATATATTTACTTGTACTTCATTTATTTTAATATTAAAGTTAAATTATTATTTTGAGTAATTTTTTTTTTTAATTTTCTTATAATGCCCGACAAAAGTCATCTTTTATGTTCATTATAATTATTCTTAGGGGACTAAATGTCTCTAAATAAAATTTATTTTTCTTCTTCTTCTTCTTACCAAACGCTTTAAACTTTCAATCAACTATAAAAGGCTCATTTACTTTACCATTATAAGACCTATTTTGACTTATGGAGTTGTGCTTTGGAGTTCCACTAAAAAATTGAATTCCTCTCGTATCGGCATTTCAAACCGTATTTTCTCAAACTTAGCAATTTTCTCATTCCTGGTATTTCCTTAAAACTGGCAGTTTTCTGCAATTTATGTATATATTTTTTTTATAGATTTCGGTGAATGTGTTCGTGCTGAGCTGCTATTTGCGGATAAGAACAACATATTTGTTACTAATGTTCACCCAACAGTCATGAATTCTTCTGAAGATTACTTGAGATGTACTCAAATGAAGTAAGTCTTACAACAGAAGTCGCTAAGATTATTAATTAGTATGTTATCTAACCCCCTATTATTTATCAATAATAGACTTTTGAGATCAATCAGAGAAATTCGAGGTTCGTTCGAGCTTAAAGCATGGTGATTTTCTTTCACCTTTACTATTTAATTTGGTATTAGAATATGCCATTAGAGAGGTAATACATACCGAAAAAGGTTTGAACCTGGTTGGAACAATATCCATGCTTGGGTATGCTGTTGATTTGGTACTGTTAAGCGATGACATGATAACAATGAAAATAAATACAACGTTAATGAAAGCCGGTAAAGAACTAGGATTCAAGATGAATACGGATAAGAAAAAACATATGGTTAGCTGCAAAAACCGTGAAAATTTCTATGATGTCAATATAGAAGGGAATGTATTTGAAAACGTACAGAATTTTAGGTATATAGGGATTACGATAACTAGAAAAAATGAAATTGAAGAGAACATTAAGGTTAGGTTGAAGCCTAGAAATGCTTATTATATTTCTTTTGCAAAACTACTTAGTTCTTGGCTTCTGTTCCGAAACTTAAAAATTAGAATTTACAAAACAATTATCCTTTCTGCGGTTCTTTATGGATGCTAAATGTGGACGCTTACATTAAGGGATGAGCAACGTCTTATGCATAATGTATTACGGAGAATATTCAGATCGAAAAAGAACGAGTCAACCCCAGAATTTAGGCGGTTTCACAACGCTGAATTGCGTGAACTGAATCCGGTCAATATAATTGAGATGATTTGGTTGAGGCAAATAAAAGAGACATATAAAATCGCTGGACTTGGTAAGGAAAGAATTCCTAAAAAGGTAATATATGCTTTAACGACTGGCAAGAGTCCGATGAGTAGATCAAAGCGAAGGTGGGAAGATTTCATTAAGGCTGATTTGGCAGCCTTGGGTTTAGACGGAGCCAGAAGGATGGAAGAATGTGGACATCAATTGGTGATATCGGCATCGAACCTCCGGGTTCGCTAAGTCTTATTATTATTATTATTATTTTAAAATTTCGCACTCCCTCAGAAATTGCTGTGAATATTCACCTACCTGGACCTTGGTCAAAAGGTTAGGCTCAAATTTAAGGCCATGTTTAAAAATGTTCAGGCGATGTTCGCCGTACCAAGAAGAAGTGCCTTATGCCCTTCTTCCAATACTTTTTCTAGCAGCCAACATGTGCAGATTCCTGATGTAAGTACACGGGGTTAGGATTATCAGCCCTACGCCCGATCGGTGTGAGTGGCCTCCAGTAGACTGACGAGGCTCCCAAAACGGGTAGGAGGTCTCGAGCAGCGTGGCTTTCCCTGGTATACGGTCACCCATCCAAGTGCTAACCACGCTCGGTGTTGCTTAACTTGGTTGCGAGCGCCTTAGCCCGAACAGCTATATATACGAGCCATCAATTTTAAGAATCGATTTAACCGTTTGCTCCTAAAATAGTTGAAAAGATTTTTCCAAATTGATTAAACACATTTAATTTAATCATGGGCCATTATTTTTAGATCGAATTGTTTCAAAACACTCAAAAGATCTCACCATATAATTTAGGATATCAAAATTAAATTTAATCTATTTTTTTTACTCAAAAAATCGTAACATAGTTTTTTGAGAATTTATTAAACATATTATTTTAATCAAGGGTCAGTATTTCTAGACCTAGTATATTATAAATATTAATATTATTATACTAAAATATAAGTGAAAAATTAATTATTATATTTGTTGTGAAATTAAATTAAGTATTATAATTTCCAGGGTAAATATGTTCGTAGAAATGGAAGAAGTGGTTAAAGCAACGATGGACGCTATCCACTACAACTATGACGAAGTTATCATACCACCCATTTCGAAGTATCCACTTATTTTAATAACTGAGTAAGTAATTATTATTTTTGAAACTATTATATTTACTACTGTATTCTAATTAGATATTTATATAGGGTGTTCCAAGTTGAAAGTAGACATCATGATCTAGAAAAAAAGTTCATGTAAAAATTACTCAATTTGCAGCAGAAAATTTAAGATTTGTGCTATTTTAAGCTAGACTATTTTTTGTTAAATAGGAACGATAACTTATAAACTATTTTATTTAAATAACTAAATATTGCTCCCTAGTAAACTAGACAAAATGTACTTTGAACGAAAGTAGAGTTTGTTATTGTTAAAACTATTTAAGTTGTGAAAATAAACGATGAGATTTTCTATCCCACTTTTCACATGAAAGTGCCCGTAATTTCAGCAAAAATGACTAGAATTTATTGTTTCAAAGCTTTCGTCCGTTGTTTTTCCGGGTTATGGAATGTATTTTAATACAAATATTGCCTAAATACACATATTATTAATAAAAATTAAAAATAATGATTTGTCAAATATTTTTCATGTGAGGTGGTTATGGAATGGTGTTTTCCTCTCATATTTCTGTTATAGGAATTGATGCGTGTGAGAGTTGATGATAAGTGGTAACCTTAATGTGTCTATCCCTAATATTTACGGTTTCAGTAAAATAATTGAAGCAATCAGTAGATTTTCTAATTTTAAACGTAAATTTTAGTAAGAAACATTAAGTTTGTTACTGATAAATTCATATAAATTAAGACTCAAAGCACAGTAATTAGCACATCCGGAACTTTTTATGAACTGATTGATAATTAAAGTGAAAATTAATTAAAATATAAAATGCATAATATAAACCTGATGATTTTAATATTAAAGCTGTTATATTGAATTATTTTTTTATGTTATGTGTTATATTATTCATGTTACAGAATGATGCCTTCACGGACTAGTACGAAACTAATGAAGCTCGTAATTGATAAATGGAATTTCCCAAACAGAGAGCAAACAAAATGTCTACCCTGGGGCAATATAATTAAGGAATCCTCCTTGATTGAAAACAACAAAGATGTTAGAACTGAAAGATAGATAAAGTCTTTCTGAATGACATAAATAAATATTGTAAAAAATATATCTGTGGCACCTGTGAATAGTATGTTAAGTGCAAGAATAATATTATTATAAAAATGTATTTGAAAGTATGGAATTTTCACAGGCGCAATTTCAATCTCTTTATTAGTCCATTAGACACAAAGAAATAGAGAGAATTATACCTTTCTGTGGATACCTATAAAAATTCACAATATTGTACTTAACATACTATTTACATGTGTCGGCGAAATATGAAAAAAAAAAAAAAACTGTTTACAAAATAAAAAAGTTCCCTTAGATTGATAAGAGATAACATGGCTTGTTGGTAACCTTGTTAGCACTCCTAAGATAGACATTATTATGTCAGAACGTTCAAGATAACATCTTATATATGTATATATTATGAAATTGAAAGTTAAGAATATATTTCTTTTCAGAAGCCTTGAAAGATCATCAGAAATCGAATAAGAAGCAATATTAGAAACTTTGTTAAAATATAGGAATTTCTAGATAGGTTTTCATTTCATACTGAATTGGAAACATAAGGAATATTAATATATATTTTTATATATAATTTAATATAGTTTTATTTATGACTTAAGATCCCTTCTCCTCTCCAAGAATTTTTTTTTTTATAATGTCATGAAAGGCATGAGGAGGAGCAGTGCCCAGCGGCACCTCACTCGACGTGATATCTACATTAGGCGAGGAGGTCCCTCATCCAGCTCCTCTTCAGTCTCCTACAGACGTTACCTGGTATATTCGTAGTGGCATTTATAAATGTATTAGGATGTCCTTGTAAGTTGTCATGGAATCGTTTGTAATGAGTTCGTATGTGTTCGTTAACAGTCGGCATATGGAGGTCAGTATGTAAGGTTATGTTGCTAACGTACCAAGGTGCTTTTGTAATTGTTCTCAATGGTTTGAAATTTGTTTATATGAGTCTTTTTAGCTGTTCCAAATATCTGTGATGCGTATGTCCAAATATGTTTAAGTAAATAATTGTATGTGTTCACTTTCTGTATAAGTTTTAGTTTTGCATTTTTCGAAAGAAGTGAACTCAGAATTCTTAACCTTTGATTTAGCGTTTTTCGTTTCTTGATCATATGTCGGCCCCACGTCATTTTTCTGTCAAATGTCAGACCAAGGTAGTGAACGGTGTCTGTCTGTGGAATCTGTGTATTGTTAAGGAAAACTGGAGGGCATCTTTCACGTTGAAGCGTAAATGTGATTTGTCTTGAGTTAGTCAGATTTTATTTATATTCAATCCCCTGTTCTAACGTATAGCAGTTTTAACTTACCTTCGGTGGTTCTTGATCCGTTTGCAGTTTCTTATTTTTTCAATCTCGTATGACGATAAATATGTATATTAATTTCGTTTGTTCAAAACCTCTAATCTCCGAAAGTTCCACACCAATTGCTTTGAAAGTTTGACACAACATTTCAGTCGAATTCAGAAGTGTTTTTATAAATATTGCATTACTATCCGTCCTTTCGTTTCGAAATGGCGGTCGAAAAAACGGCTGAACATTAGATAATTTTAAAATGAGCAAGGTAACTCGAAACGTAGTTATAAGTTGAGTTCTTAGGGTTCATCAATCCTTGAAGAAAATTGTAAGCCCATATAGAAGATAATTATTTTTCAATCTATTAAATACTAATGGTACATAATGGAATTAAGCATTATTTTTCGGTTTCTTCACTCGCGGTCTCTTCTTAGGTACGACGTCGACGAAGTACCTGAGGCAACCAACTAAGGTACCGTTGAGAGTCGCGTAGCAATCGAATCTGTACTTGCCATAAGGGAACGCCGGCAAAGAAGGACCTACTTTGAATTCAGCCATGTCCAGCCCAGATAATACGTAGGTCCCCTGCAAGAAAACAAAGTATTTTTAAAATATAAACACATAAATATGATCTGCATAGAAGGATAATTGTTCCACTGAAGACAAATTCAAATACTTCACCTCCACAATGGTATCAATAAACGACAACCGGTTGGATATAGAACCAATGCAAACAAAGTTTTCTCCCTTTTAAAGGTATCGGATTTCCAAAAAAAACATGTATAAATCTTAACTGAACAATTTAAAATGCCAGATAAACAACGAATGTCTCAATAGTAGACAAGAGAATAATTAGCCTAGGAAGTCCAAAAAAAAAAAAAAATGAATCGGTGAGTGCAGAAACCACTTTAGTCACAAATTTTAAATTTTTCAGGAGAGAGAAAAAACGTCATAACTCTTCCAAATATTTTATAACTCACCAAAATTTTCAAATATTTGATTTTTTTTTCCTCTGTCATAACATGAATTTATGTTGCTGTCATGCAAAAATTACCTAATTTCAACATAAATTAGGCTCAGAAAAATTTAAAATTTTATTAGGACTTATGCTGTTTCTGCACTCAATTGTTTTTTACATACAGCTGTAAACAAAATTGTCACTACCATGACAGGTGCGGATGAAGAATAGAAGATAAAAAAAAAAGCCGAAATTGTAAGGCATAATGGAAAATATATAATAATAATATAACATTCCAAATAGAGATTTCCAATTAAATATTATACAGTCTTTGAATACAACATAAACTAGTAAATATCACTAATTTAAATAATTAAATTATAAATCATTAAGGACATTTTTAGATTGACCTTGCTTTAATGTCTATATTTTATGCAACAGAACTTAGTTATTAACTTTAAAAATTTCTTATTAAACGAAATTAGAGTAATTAACCCTAACTATCAATGCACCTAGAATACATGAGGTAGTAAAGTTACATAAAATTGGGGCTTCACTTAATCCTATCATAAGTAATATCAATGTGGAAACTGAAAAATTTGCATAAATATCTCAATTCCATACTCAATAACTTAAAATCAGATAGAAACAATGATGTGAAAAACTCAATGGACGTGGATCAAATCTTTGAAGAATAAGTAAAATAGACAATATGTAAATATTGTTTGGTCTGTTTTGATGTAGAATCAAAATAATTGAAAAATACTGTGATATAATAGAACCGTATACCCAAATTAAAGGGTTTTATAGAAGATATGGAGTAAAATATCTCTGAAGCTAAAAATCGGACCTGCATAGTATTATCGAGAAAGATGTTCAGCATTTGACTCTCTTTATGATGAGCTATTATTTATAATTTATATTTCATATTATAAATCTCGCTTTGTCGCAGTTTTCACTTCTATCGGGTGGTCTAAAGCTCACTCCTTAAATTTTTATTTTATATATTTAACTTTCCCAAGAAGGCAGAAGAAATTGTGATTCGACCCAATGGAGAACCTTATTCGTTAAAGACAAACAATATTAATAAAAAAAGGAACTCAGATTCAAGTTCTCATCTAATTGAAGACTTATAGCCTTGAACCCAGGGCCCAAAAATCAAACTCATCGCAGGCAAAGATTTGATACTAAATTAATTAAGTGTATGCTATTCTGAATAAGAAGAACTTTGTCTGCCGTTCCAGAGCCGCTGATTTAAAGAAGATTAGGCCAGTAATTTGAGGATCGAAACGGGAAATCCATTGCGAAAAATGTGGAAAAAGTTTTTTATTTTTTAAGCTTGTATATATGGATTTACACGTGCAAAGAAAACAAAATTTCTAACGCGGGCCACCAATGGAAAACTTTTTACAGCCAAAAAAGTCACATTCTTTCAATATGTTTTTGTTCTTGGCATATAACTCCTAAACGATGCATCAAAGGGAAAAATGTACTCCTTAATAAATTAAAGAACGTTAAATTGTGCGTCGAATGAGTACTATAGTTGGGTTACGTGGTAAGTTATAAAACCACGGTCAACCAACGCTGATCTTTTCCAGATTTGTCAAAATCAGGGACAAATTACAATAAATGACCCCGTAACTCGGAAATGAGTTTCCTTAGAGGAAAAATCCATTGAATTAAAGTTTTATAGCATTAAATTTTGCGTCCACCGAGCACTGGCATTTTTATGGTAGGCCAATTATGTATCTCGAATCGGGATTCGTCATTCCTTTATGAAATTCGGTATCTTTCGACACATCGGTTATGAATATCCTTCACTGCTGAGAGGTGGGAAAGAGACTTATATTGCATGTAATAGATTATAAACAAAACTAACTCATTAGAATAGACACCCATACTGTTGAAATATTGAAAATCACGTTCACCTTCATTACCAATTTCTAGCCATCGGAATAATATCGATTTTGTTCGGAGTAACTGACCAACATTAAATTAGTTGGTACTTACTGTACGCAAAATTTGATGTTCTACAACTTTGAGTGTTTCCTCTTATTTTATTTATTTATTAGTTGTACATATTTGTGGCTCACAATAAATTTGCCAACTACCTTAGTATTCAGCAAATATGATATCAAGGAGAAGAATAATAATACAAAAAAAGAACAAAAAAAAAAAAACGTAGTAAAATAACACATACATTATAACATAATAACAAATACACACACAAAAAAGATAATGCAGCAAGTAGCTCAATGCAATAAGTCTCTTGGTCAGCGCCTCAGCAGTTTTCTGGGCGGATTTTATGGATTTGTGGCAGTAGATAGAGCATGAGTAAGTGGATTGAAATTTAGAGTCAGTCAGTCATGAAAATTATTAAAGCGGTCAGTGGCAGTTGCCGTGATGAAAGGAGTGTTAAGGTCAGTGTGTGACGTGAGATTTGAAACGTAAAAGGGTGCGTCTACAATTTTCCGAAGGACTTTTGACTGGAATGACTGAATGATTTTTATATTTGATTTCTTTGCTGTTCCCCATAGTTCGATCCCATATGTCCATAGTGGTTTAATGAGGACTTTGTAAATAGTTAATTTATTAGTCACAGATAATTTAGAACGTCTGTCAAGTAGCCTAGAAAGAAGTCCGTATCGCTGATTAAGTTCTTTTCTTTTTTGTTTTATGTGGTATGTCCATGTCAGTCGTTTGTCCAAGTGGAGACCCAAATATCGTACAGTTTTTGAAGGTGTTAGAGCAATATTATTAAAGAACATTGGAGGACAAGAGTTATGTTTAAGTGTAAATAAAACCAATTGACTCTTAGACTCGTTCATTTTTATTCTCCACCTTTTAGCCCAACAAGCTATGTCGTCTAGGTGTTCTTGAAGTACCTGAGAAGCCTTTGCTGCATCCTTGTTAGATGATAATATTGCTGAGTCATCAGCAAATGTAGCCAACAGTGTTTCAGAATGTTGTAGGATGTCTGCACAGTAAATGTTGAAAAGTGTTGGACCCAAGACATTGCCTTGAGGTACTCCAGCTTTTATTTGTTTGATGACAGAAAACTCAGTCCCCATTTTCACACGGAAAAATGTATCTTTTAGATATGATAGTAAAATTAAGTGATACGTTGGAGGAATGATCGTTTTTAATTTATGTAACAAGCCATATTCTATCAAAAGCCTGACTCATGTCAAGAAAAACGCCAGCACAGTACAATCTTGATTCTAGCGAGAAATATATGTAATCTATAAGGCGGTAACATTGCTGAATAGTCGAATGATGCTCTTTGAACCCGTACTGGAAATTTGGAATGACATCAAATAGTCTAAGTGAATTTA